GGAGCTGGGGGGATTTCCCCATAACCTGTCCCCCCCCGCATGATTTGCTGGGGGGATGCATCCCCCCCATCCCTCCCGGTTCCTACGCCCATGTATAGGCCCCCAAGCAAAGCAATGCACTGGGGCCCTGCCTACACAACTGTTCACAGGAATAAAAAATGTAAATTATCAAAACAATTAAGCTGATACTTGGTATCTGCAACAAATGCAATATAATACACACACACAGTCTGCCAAGTACAAACACAAAGAGACTGCTGAATACACACACTGTCACAATTACACTTACCTGGAGGTCCCTCGCCGCGCCTCCGTCTGCGGCTGCTGTGGTTCCCCCTTAGCATACGCCAAGGATTCCAGCGTGCTCACCTACACATGGCACATGGACGCGGTACACGTCCTCTCCACAGAGTCTAGGTATGTGCATGCCCGAAAGCTGGCCTCTTAAAGGGACAAAACAAATAATTTAAAGGGACTAATCACTGTTCAGCCAATAGTATGTGAGAGGTGGATACAGCTCCCCTGTATAATCTCAGTCTACCCTCACCTCGGTGCTCAGTTATGCTTTGCTGTTCGGTGTGTACACTTCTGTGAATCCTGTAATCATCTGATCCTTGCACAATAACAAGAGAGGAGCAAAACCATTAAGATGAAGATAACTTTATTAATTAAGTCTAATACACAAAGTCCCTGTATGTTGCCAAAAAGCTTTTCATAATAGTATTCAAATGACAATACGTACAAAAGCAACATGGTATAAATCAATCACATGTATTAATGCAAACAAATACAGGAATATCAAAACTACACATGATATATAGTTCACATTAAAGGAAACGTTAGCCAAAGAGTTAGCCAAAATGCTAAATGCTCTGACCAGACAAGTATCCACGTTAACACAAGTGGTACAAGACTAACAGACACGTCCTGCTTCCCCTGTTACTGGATCTCCACAAACTCAGCCTGCCGCTCACCTGGTACCTCTGCCAGAAGATCATGCCTTGGCACCAGAACCACAAGTGTCTTTGCCATTACGCTTCTCAGGTGACAGGTCTAAATACCGGTCCTTCATCATGGCTTGTGAAAAGTTATTTCATTTGAATCAATGGACTTATTACTGTGATGCTGTCAAAGTTCATACTATTATCACCCTTTTCTTCAGTCCACCACAAGAATTGGCCCATGACCTCTTGCGTATTAATGATCCCAGTGTTCAAACCTGGAATGCTTTTGTTGGCGCCATGTCTGCTATGTATGATGATCCGAATAGACAAGACACTGCTCAAAGTGCCATTAGAGCACTACGCCAAGGCCGAGGACCTGTCGAGTACTACATAACAAAATTCAAGTGGTATGCCACAGACACACACTGGAATGATGTTGGACTGATCAATCAATTTCGACTAGGGTTGTCTGAATTGTTAAAAGACAAAATCGCTCATTTTGGTGTACCAGATACGTTGGAAACCTTTGTGCAACAGGCTATCCAGTTAGACCGATGTCTCACAGAACAGAGACAAGAAACACTTATGCTCCAACTTCTAACCTTGCCTCCTCTGGTTATTCATCTACTTCTTCAACCATGGTCTCGGCACCCTCAGCAGAAGAACCAATGCAAGTAGGCCTCATGCAAGGAAGGTTACCCCTGGTTCAACTGCAACGAATAAGAAGGAAGAACCTGTTCCTCTATTGTGGGCATCCTCATCATACAGTGCAAACCTGCCCTGAAAAGACCAGGAATACCATGGGTAAGGAGATCGGTCAGGTTACTATAACTCCCGCTTTGGTCACCGCTACTCCTCCCTTATCTGTCTCCCTTTCCTTGCAGTGGAATGAAAACCGCTATGAGTGTCAAGCTCTGACTGATTCCAGGGCCAGTGGATGTTTCTTAGATGTTGCTCTTGCACATTCACTTTTCATTCCTGTATACAATAAAAGCACTCCACTGCAAATACAACTCGTGGATGGGTCCTTCTTGCAATCTGGTCCACTTAGCAAACAAACCAAACCAATATTAGAATTTATAGGGGTATGTCAAGTCTTTTTTAGTAGCCACTTAGTCCCAAACACTGGCCAAAGGTAATGTTAATATTTGTTTGTGTGTGAAAAATGCAAAAAACTCATTTGAACGCCAATTTTGGCCAGTGTTTGTGACTAAGTGGCTATTAAAAAAGACTGGACATACCCCATCTGCAATACCTTGGGTTGTCTACTTTTGCAAATGGTATGGCATCATTGGGATAATTCTAATTTCTTGTCTACCATACGGTCTCAAAGGAAACGTAACTAAGCGAATTTTAATGTGAAAAAACTGAAACACAAGCCTTATATTTGACTCAGTAACTTTTGAAAACACCATAAAACCTGTACATGAGGGGTACTGTTATATTCAGGAGACTACGAAAGTGACCTTTCTCCCAGCCAGCAGAAGACTGGCCAGTCAGGGACTTAAAGGGCCAGGCAGCCGACCGTTCCCCTGTTCAGAAATAACACCCACCGGGTAAGTATTGAGTAGGGGATGGGTGGCAGTTATTGGGGGCATTTTAAAATGTGTAGTATCCTGGAAATCAAACACACAATCTGACATACATTGATTGTATGTCAGATTGTGTGTAATTTATTACACATGGTATGCGGGTGTCAGGGAGCCGCATTAAAAATGCGGGGAGACTTGGGATGTCTGGGGATGTGTGTGTATATGTGACAAATGCCCCTTCCCACAAACGTTTTCCACGGACTCCTGGATAAGTGTGGAAGCCGGCCTCCTGTCCATCAACTATGGTCCAGGTCTGACACACCGTTTGGGAGTTACCCTGCCCAGCCGCCACTAGCAGCTTTCCCTGAGTGCCCTGTGTTCAGCACTTTCCCTTCATTCCCGAAAGTTGACCAGCAAAGACATCAAAGGACCACGTGTGCGGCTGGTCAGAACTTTAACACGGTGGCATTTCCACTACACTGCATGAATCTGAGCGCTATTTGGAGAACCCCTGCTGGGGTCTGTGCATAAAAGGCAGAGTTTGGCCCATTAAAATCAGTTGTACTCCCAGAACTATGTGTCGTCTAGTTACTGGGAGGGGAAAGGGTTAATCACTCCTCAGCACCTTGTTCCAGCTCGTGGAGGATCCGGCGGGGATCTCCCAGGACTGTGTATCATCCAGTCCCTGGGAGAGAATAGAGCTAGTCCCCTATCCTGTTTCAGGACGGAGAGGCTCCAGGATTGGGACAAAAGTGCTGAGGTTTTCCCTGGTTCCCGCTAGGAAGAAGTCCTTGGACTGAAATGTTAACACTGACACGTTGGATGTCATTATCTGTTGCTGAAATAAAAGCACTTTGTTGAAACATATTGAGTCCTGTTAGTGCTTTCCATCAAGGTACATATATACACTGTAGCGGAGCTCCCTGTACCCTGGCTGGGTACCTCCGCCACAGTGTATATATGTACCCAGGGGCGGACTGAGCACTCGGGCATATCGGTCATGGACCGAAGGCCCGAGGCTCTGGGGGGCCCGCCCGTGGTGCAGAATGTAATAGCAGCTGGGGAGTTCGGCAAGCTCCCCAGCCAGAATGCACTCAGTAAGGGGCCCCTGCTGTTAGTGAAGTT